ACCTACTGTTGAAAGCAACAGGAGATCTGGAACAGGATCGGCCCTGCAGTGATCAAAATTAGGATTTCTCTAGATGATCTTTTGTGTCTTGCTCTACACTAAAGCTACAGAAGAGAACTGCGATGGAGCATAATAGAGAAATCATCCAGAAGACTCTGAATAGCAGGCAGGAGATTGTCTCAGTGTAGACATCTGCACATTAACAGCGATCCAGCTAAAACAAAGCTTACAAGAAAAACCCTTTCCTGTTACATACTCTTTTTGGTTTCGGACAACGCAGATGAAGATGCGATACCTGTTCCTTTCCACAGCACTCAGGACAAACAGTACTCACCTTCCCCTGAGGTCTCATGCATCACTATTGACCTGTTCCTCTTAAACCACTAATCTGTGACTACTTCTGAATGAAATAGAATATTAAAAGAGATTTCCTCCTGAGCCCAGTAAAGAGCTTGAAATTCTTCCAACTCTGCTAGCCTGCTAATCCTTAAATTATAGATGTTTTTTTAATCTGGTCTAAGTGGGTGTCTCTGCTCTTAGTCACTGACAGACATGCCTTAATTTTGGTGACTGTTATCCCGGAATTCCCTCAGCTGTACAGTGAAGGATAAGCTACATCGCTGAGCTCATCATATGGCCACCATAAAGAAGAAAAAGAAAACTGACTTAGATTGTAAAAAATGGGTTCTTAGGAACAGTTCTCTAGGTTGGCTCTGCAAAAAGACGTTCCAAAAGCTTAGCCTTCAAGTGGCAATAGTTCTTTGAGTCTTTTAGAAGCTATTGGCCCCAGAGTTTTATTTACACTCAAACTTAGTGCCTGGCTTTTGCAAGCTTAATGATCTGCCTGTGGCTTGCAGGGCCAATACTGGGAGCCAGCAGGCATTCAGTCCATTGGAAAATTGGGCCCGTTATCTAAATCCGGCCCACAGAAATCTAATCTTAGCCAGGAGTTTGTACCATTTGTCAGCACACAACTCTTCCTTCTCCCCTCAGAGGTTTTCCAGATTGCTTGTATCACGTTTCATTGGGTACTCCTCTTATTTTCTGAGTAGCCTTACGCCTTTTTTTGGTTGGTTGTTTTTGTTTTTGGACAGCTCTGTCAAGAGATTTCATAAGGTAACTTCATTAAACTTAAGGAAGTTACCACACTGACAGTTTGCAGTGTGTTGTGAAAGGTGTAGTGACTTGGAAAGTCTGACTCGTTGTCAAAATGAAATGTGCTAGTGCTGTGTGTAAAAACCCACTGGCCCCTCAGGGAAAACAATGAAAATATTCAGCAAAGACACAAGCCTGCCTTTGTATTGTGTGTTTTATATTTCTCCTCTTCTATCTTTTTGCTGTGGAGGCCCTCTGATAGAAAAATTAGGCTTTGGGGTTTTATTTCCTTGGTAAAGCAGGGCACAGAACTTGTTGCAGTAGCAAATCAGACAAACATGGGAGTGTGATGACTAATTAATAGCAGTTAAACTGTCATTTGCAAGGTATCTGAAGTGTCTAAAGGAGTTGCATTGCACAGCAGCCTTCTATGCAGAGTCCAAACATTGGTCTCACACTGACTCACAGCAGGGCCATAATGTGCTCCTAGCAATTCCCAGGATGTTTGGAACTAAAGAACATATGTGCTATTGCAAGTTCTCCAAGTACCTACATCTATGAAAATGTTCACTATCATTGAACCTGTGGTAAGAGGTTTCTATATCAAGTGCTTTGGTTGATCTACAAGCGATTATATTAGTTCCTACAGCTTCCAAGCATGTTGCAAGGGAATGAAAATCACCTTTTACAAGCCAGTGAAACTGACAAGGAAGAGAGGCAGTGGAATCTTGCCTGCCCCGTGCTCATCACCACCACTGTGGAACAGGAGTAGTTGTTGGTGTACTGCTTGCTCTTCGGTGCTCCTGATGCCGAGATGAACACTGTTTTTTCTAAAGGGCTTGCCTTTTCCTGTACACGATTCCCTGAATCTGAACAATGCACAAGGCCTTGTGCAAGACTGAACTCCGAGTGTGCCTGAAAGGTATAAACACCACCAAGCTCCAGGTGTTCCCCAAGGAGGTAGTTACTTCCTCTCTTCCAGTTTCATGGTAGATTTCCCCATGGAGATCCATGGAGTTGATCTTTGTGATAAGTGGTTTAGTAGGGACCATACACAGTTCTTCAGAGGACCATGTCTCACCTTTACTTGTACATTAAGCCTTTAAGAGCAAGCTGAGAGACTTTCTGGCCAAAGAAAGGAGTTGCTGCCTAAGCTTATTTCTCTTCCTGTCACATCGCAATTTTGTAAGAAGGCTGATCCATGCTTTCAAAGAGCAGGAAAATCCAGACTTCACTGAAGCTAATGGTAAAGCATCCATTTTTAGCAAAACCAGGGTTTCTCTGTCCAGTTTCTACCTAAATGTATGGGGTACACTGGAATTTCATACTGCACTTTGAGGGGAGAAAATCCTTCCTACCTGCAGTAGCTGATCAGGTTGGATCCTGAAGAAGGGTTTGCTCACTTGACTTGTTTCTGAAAAGCTGCCATCCTTTTCCCAGACTTACATTAGACAAGACCTCATTTATTTATGTCCAGTCTCATTTGCTCTCATGGCAGCTCTCTGGAGGTGGGGATGGTGCTGACTGCACCATGAGTGAAGTATCCGTCCGTGCATTTTAGCTCACGTATGCCTCTGATGGATGATCCACCATTAAACAAGGAGACTGTGCTGACTCTTGAGAAAGAGATTAACAGGTAAAAGTTCAAGATGTCTGTGTCTGGCAACGCTTTCACTGCTGTGCCATTAGCAGTAACACAGATAAATAGCAGCACAAAATCTTCAGCAATAAGGCAACATATTTTAGGAAGGAGGAAGAATAAATTACACAAACATAACATTAGACCTTTAAAAGGCTGCATTGTGCAAGCCATTTTCTGTACTCAAAATGCTTTCTCCTTTCAATTTTTCATTGTCTCTTCAATTTGTACTCATTGTTCTTAACAAATAAAGAAGCAATACCAACAAGGTTGCATTAGATGAAGTTAAAACCAGTAAGAGGTCAAAGCCAAATAAGATTGTTTATTAGAAATGAATTCGTCCTTTTGGTTTTTTTTATGAAATCAGTTATCCTATATTGATACAGCAAGAGGCTAACGCTATAACCATCTGAGAGCAGATCGTGTGTACCCCATGGGGGTGCATCAGGCCCTGCAGCCATGCCAAGCCCCAGGGGGAAGGTGGAGCTTTCTGTCAGTTGCTGCTAATCCACTAGAGGCCATTGTGACACAGAGTAAAGGGTGCCTAGCAGAGCATTTCACACCAGTGCTGCTCAACCATCCTTTTTGTCCCGTTCAAAATGATGAGCTAAGGACTTTAGTTAGTAGATATTCAAGGGGCAGCGGAGTGGAGAAGTGATTCCTCTGGATGTTGCGAAATTTCCCATGTATTACAGAGGAAATTCTGCTAGGCAGAAGCACGGATTTGCACATAAAGTTCGTGTTTCAGCAGAGTGTATCTTGTCATGGCATTTTGAACAGGACGTGCAGTACTGTGCAATTATTTGCAATCTAGAAGAAAACATCCTAATGATTTCTTTTCCTATTCACAGCATTTTCAAAAAGCAGCTGCCCAAGGGCTGTTGAGGAAATGCTGTGACGGCAGTTAGAAGTTAATTAGTTTGTACCCATCCATGAAAATGGGAGAAGAAAAGGGTGATTTTTGAAGGAAAATTGTGTTTCTGCTGGGGTGGATGATGAGCTATCAGGAAACTTCAATTTGCTAGTGATGCAACTGGGGAAAGGGAGAAAAAGAATCAAATAAGGGCAAATACAACTGTCAGGAGGATAACACAACAGTGAGAAAGGAAGAGATATCCAAAGGGGCAAGGCCCCCGGCCACACAAGCCTGTACATCTGAAGGCAGTGGAATCATTTCTAACAACTCCTAGGCTTGCCATCAGAGGAAAGATTTGATTTCATTTGTCACTTGTCATTTCCATTTACCTCTGCAGCTACCTGAAGGTACATCAATAGTATTTGATGAAATGATGTAAAGAGGTCAACCAAGTCTGGTGTTGAGTTGAAGGGAAACCCTGCAAAACTGGCTAATTAGTATTAGTGAGATAATTCTTCATCTCTTTCTTGTTATGTACTATATAATGTACATCACACCAAAATGTTAAATGTATATATATACATATATGAAGATACTATTTCAGAACTCAGTATAGGAACATTTAACATCTGCATGGAAAAGAAACACCAAAAGGTCTGAGATAATGCAGTGTTATCATGTCAAACAGATTGTTTCTTGTGGATGCAATATCGTAACCTTTCTTGTGTTGGGATTTAGGGATCGGTGAACTAATGAGCCTTTCTCTGATCTTCCTGATACTGGGACATATCAGGAACAATTCCACTGACGCCAACCAACTTGACAGTTACCCAAGTTGTGGTATGCGCAGGATCAGGCTCCACATCTCAGGGGAAACATGAACATTGCCTCTCTTACCTTTTACCTGAAGCACCTGGAAACACATTCATGTGTGGAAAATACTTCTCTGGAAAACAGGACAACTTCTTCTATGTCTGAAGGGACTGATCCCACCTGTTTTTAAGGCAGCGGCTGCTCATTGTGTGAGGGTGTTGGGGAACTTGGTCAGAGAGTGGCTGTCAGCATCGAGTCTAAAATTAAGAAAAGGAGGAAACACTGATTTATTGCCCAAAAAGTAAATCTTTTATTTAAGAAACAGAAAGTTTGCACACACGTTTTTAGACAAGAGTTTTTCAAGGAGTATGTGAGACACAGAGAGCAGAAAAGCAATGCTTGTGAGGTAGGCAGGATTTTTAAAACAGAAGTACATTCACTTAATGAATAAAGCATCAAACCTGCACTGCAAACCCTGTGTTTTTAAAGGTTTAGAAAGCTAATATAATGTGAATCTAGCCATATAATCCTGTGTTCAAAAAGGCGAAATAATAATAACAATGTAACCTCATCCTCTGTATTTCCTCATTTCCTTAGGGCCACGGTTTCAAAAGGTCTTAAAAAACATAGCAACAATACATTCCAACACTTCCCTCTGATTATGGGAAAGCACCCTGCTCTCCAAGCCTAGGTAAGTGTTGACGTGCTCAGTACCTCCAACCTTTTCCTCTACGAGCAGTTAGAGGAATGGGTCACACGTGTGTGTGGTAGGGGTCAGGTCTTTATTTCAGCTTTTGGGCCTGGCCCAGCAAGCATTTCAAATTAGGCTTGGGGTTTTGTCATCTGAAGAAGTTTCATGGGTTTTCACTGAAATACTGTGTCATGCGTAGCACTGCTACCAATGAGATTCTGGGGAATTGAGCTCCTTCTGCAAACGTAGATATTAATCTGCATTTACAAGAGGGTGCGTTTCCTTTCAGACTAAAAACTCATCCCCCCAAGTTGGTCTTTTAAATGACTTGTGAGGCCCCCATCCTGCGATAACACCACCCTGCCTTCCCCAGGCAGATTCCTCTACCTGCACGGCAGCCTTGGACTCTTTCTGGGGTTGTGCACGACCTCAGGGACCTATCAGCATGGAGCTCGCTGGAAGATGGATGGCTCCAAGAAAACTGAGGGAAGAGTCAGACTTGGTTGGAAATGTTTAGCAACTTCTCTTGGGAAAGCTGGAAAAAGCCTGAATAACTGACAGGAACAGGAGCAGGCATAGACAGATCTCTAATGCAAACCCTGGCTAAATTTGAATAGTCCTGTGGACGTCAGTAAACCACAAAGAAAACGCTGTCTTTTAATAGTGATCGTGAGCATTTCTACATGTGCTGAATGTTTAATTTGAGATTCTTGGGTAAATTTATAGGTATTTACTTTTTTCAGTGCATGGGTAAGCTGCGGTATTATGGAGGATTTGGCAGCTGATTCTCTGCAGATAACAGCTGCAGATCTGGATCCATAACCTAGGAATCCTGATTACTAGATAATTGCTCCACAACGCATCCAGAGCATAAAAAAAACAAGCCAATAAATCATCTCTCTTTAAACAATGTAAACTAAATTGTGGTTGTTGTTTTGCTGTTTTGCTTTTTTTGAAGGTATTTGGGTCTGGGTTTCTCTTGATTTTGAATCTTCTAGGACAAAATGAGCTCTTCTCTAGTGCTACCGTACTCTAGCTGTGGGAAAGCAATTTACTTGGATCCATTCCTTGATTTTAAAATAAGGGATGCGAAATTGTTTTGAACTGTTTTTTCACCAACTGACTTTAGTTCAGGTAAACCCTCTGAGGGATTTGGCTATGTTTGTAATTTTGTAATAAATATTCAATTACTGTCAGAACAGCCCCTCTTCAGCTGGGACAAAACCACACCACCACCCCATTCTGGTGACTGCAGCAGCACATGTTATGACAGAAATGCTTCAGTCTTGAGCATAGCTACTTCCCTATTTTTTTTAATTGTCTATTCGTGCCAAGAATATTTGCCTTTCTTCTTCTTCTTCTTCTTTTATACACATGAAACAGAGTTCTCCATTACATTGAGCTTCAAATCTGCATTTTCCAGTGCCTGGAGAAGATCTGTTCTCAGCCCACACTGTAGCTCTCTTGGGTAAAGTTTTTAGTACACAGTGAGGAGTGCATCACGCTTCAGCCATAACTGGAATGTGCACAGCTTTGTGAAGTTTCTCAGAATGACTCAAAGAGTGGAAGCAAATAAAAAACCACAGAGATATTTGTATCTTAAATGTGCTTCAAGTAACTGCATTATTACCACAGCACCTCCTAGGCTTCCCGTTTTTGCAGATTGCACATTGTCACCACTTCCTAAATAGCTGTGTTTATTTATTGAAACTCAAGGGGTTTATTTAACATCTCACATAAAAAACAATTCTCCTTATCCAAGTCATTTAGGCCAACATCTCCAAAGTTTGGTGCCTATAGCAACCCACCTTAATCCTTATTTAGACATGCATGCAAGCAGCTTTACTTTTAAGCAATATGAAGCATTTATGGAAACCATATTTCTAATTTCTTTGGTTGCCTGGCTTTGAAATTAGGACCCAGCTCACCAGTGCATTAAAAGCCCAGCTGATATAGGAGTCCTTAGTCATGGCAGGGGCTGCAATCAGAGAACTCATATAACTTTATAAGTGAAGCATAGCCTTGAGTGAAGTGCTGGACTTGAGACTATTGCCTATGACTGGCACACATGGAGTTGAGGTGAGATTGCAGTAGAAATGAAAGCTATGTGGTCATGTCTCACTAGGGATGGGGGATCCAGGGTATAATTCCCATAAACCTTTTCCAGGATCCCAGCACTGTCACTTAGATTTGGAAATGTTAATGGGCACATCATCATGTGCTCAGTCATTAAATTGCATAGCCAGTGAAGGGAAATGTTTTGGGAGAAGCTAGGAGCTAGTTGGAAACATTCTGTAAGAAATACCAGAGATCTCTTCCCTTACAAAAGGAGAATGCATTAAAATTACTTTTTGTTTGTGACAGACCACACACTTGCTCCCATCATATTAAATGTGGTGTAACTGGGTTGGAGGCTGTAAGGGTAGGTCCAGTGGAGCTAAAAATGTGCCTCAGGAGGCTGATGGCTGCTGTGTCAGAGAACCACAGCAGCACTTCTGGTGTGGGCAATGAACAGCAGTGAGCTGGGGAAGTGGCAACTTTTAGATTGTAATTTTGCAGGTTTAAGCCCCTGCCAAGTCCACAGTGTCAGCCAAAACCACAGCATTGCAAAATGTGCCTTAACAGCAAGCCAAAAAAATCAATATGCCTTCCTTCTTTTCCTGGAGCATGACAGAAAGCCTGTATAGTCAATAGGTGTCCTAGTGTCAGTCTAAGTGGGCACTGTATAAAATCCTGGTGGACAAAAATTAACAGAGGGAAAATAAGGAATCCACATGCAAGGACACCTTTATTATAGGAGCTCCTCTGTGAAGGAAGCAGATGGGGTTTATGCCATGTAAATAGATAAAGCAGTCTTGCATGTAAGACATTAGTAGCAGTGCATGTTAAGGACTACCTACTTAAGTTCATTTCTGCATAGTAGATCAAGTAAGGAAATGCTGAACTGTAAACCTCTGCTAATTTACAAAAGGGCACAACAGTAGGTAAAAGCATAGCAAATTAGGAGAGATTAGATTGACAACACTGTATAAATCTTGGTTGGTAACTGTACTTAGATGGCCAAGATTCTAAGAGCACTTATATAATAAAACTGTGCTCAAGGAAATATTTGCAGATTGAAGGGAAATGATAAGAGAGCAAATTATTTACACAATTTTATTCAGCTATCTATGACTGTGGTTTATAATGAAAATGGGAGGCCAGATTTGATCTCTAAATGGGCGCAGCTCCACAGATCTGGCTTGTAATTTGCAAATAATTTATCTGAAGATAAATGACAATGTATAAGGTTACTCATTGTTTGCATGGATTGATGTTAATTCATATATATACACTTTCTTGCACTTTCATGCATACAATGATGGAAGTTCTGCAGACAAAACCAAAAATACAGTCTCTCGAGTCAGACTGATTCTACCACCGTGTTACTGAAATTTCTAATCATCATCTCATGACAATAGTTTCAAGGGATTTGTGAAAAAGTAGCAAAGAATACACTTTTCTGTAATTTACTATTTCCTGTAATTCATCATACCATTTTTTCCCCAAATTGCTTTGACTTTTTTTTCAGGAGTATCATATATCACAGTCCTACTGCTAGTGACCCTTTTTCAACTGATATTCTTCTGCTTTTGTGCATTGTTTATTAATTGCTGTTTCATTGCAAAGACAACTGTGAAACTAAAAGGCAAAGCAAGAAACAATGCAATAGGGTAAGACAGTTGACTAGAAAGTACCCCCGCAGGGCTTTCTTGGTTACCAAAACAAACCAAACCAAAGAGATTTAGATAACTTAAAACTTCAGTATTACTCATCGAGTACATGAAGTTCTGTAGTCTGGGCTTCACAGAAGGTCAAACTAGATCCATTCTGTTTGTATGGTATCTACTCAAATCGATTGAAACCACTGGCAAATGTTAAGGGTAGCCACACCAAGTACATTAGGAATGGATTCATCTTTGAGAACCATAACTAATGATGTTAAAGTAAAATGAAAATAATAGTGGCAACATCAAGGGAGAAATGCAAAGTAACATATAACATAAGGGCTGGCTAAGGTTGGAGTCTGCAGTAACTGCTTCACCTATGAAGCTGAGAGAAGTGCCACAAGCTCTCACTTTTTGAGTGGTTTATTTACTAAGCTAGAAGATGAGAAATAATCATTGATTTTGATAGGGTTGCTAGACATAAATAAAAAGCATACCACAATTTTATAAGGACAGGAATTACTGTCCTTCTACAGAGGAAAATATGAACATATTAAAGGCAGTATTCCAGAGTTTTTGTATGCTTTTGTATGCAGAGTTTTGATATGTGTTAATACCTTTACAACTAAGCCACTTGAATCCAAGGGCGAGAAAAGACAGATTAAGGTGCACATCTTTTTAAAAGCTGCATTTTTGTAATCTAGCTATGTACACTTGGAATGATCTTTCAGGATTCCCAGCAATTATGTAAGGAATGGCTGTAATTTTTTTATTGTGGCAGAAGATGATCAAATAATGAAGGAGCTGGCTGGGAGCTGGAAATTTTTCATTCAGCTTCCAGCTCTGACACACTCTTCCTGTATGACCCTGGTTAAGTCACGCAATCTCTTTGTCACCCAGTTCCTCATCTGAGCCTTAAGTATGTGAAAAAATGAAGGATTTTTGATTATTTATCTCTCTGAAAAAGCATCTCTAATGTCACACCTCCCGAGAGCATCCTGATCCACAGCACAGACACTAACATCTCTTTGTGAACTGCACATTAAATTGCAGTCTGATTAACCAGATTGACCCACAAAAGTTTTTAGCAATTTGTATGCACCAGCGAGGAACTGATGTAGTCCTGATCTCCCATTCAATAGGCTCATGTTCCCCTGGTAGGCAGTAGCAACCTAATGAAAGTTTTACTGGTTGTATTCCTGCTTTTATGAAAAGAAAATTACTCTTAATTCAAGCAGTTCTAGGAAATGGGAAGTGTTGTCAGGAGTGTAGTAATTACACAGCTAGTCAGAGATAAGTGTTGGGGCACGGTATTCTTCTGGGCGAGAAAATACTGCGGCAGAAATTACAGCAGAAGCCCTTACCCAGCTTTACAGCTCCTAACGAGTATATTTACAAAGCATATTGGAGCTATGCCACACAAGGTCTTCTCTTTGCCCATGTTAAAACGTGGAGAATAAAACCAACAGCTGGAGGAGCAATACAAGCCTTCTTTGGAGTCACCTTGCTTTAAGTGTGACTCCACATTTTAAGGAACAGCTGGAATGGAAAGAAAAATAGCAAAGGCCTCAACTGAAGATGTTGCTTGGAAGCACTAGCACAATTTCTGAGACAGGGAGACTTTTGTCCTTTATTGTCATGGTTTTCCTTTTACGTGTCTTAATGCTTCAGTGATAGTAGACACATAGACCGTCACTTCAGGTTTGATGAGAACCATGAAACAGGCATCAAAAGTAAAATACTGCATTTCAAGTGCTGTTCAAGCCCTTTTTCTGTATGAAAAGTCAAGAACTGATTTTTCTCTATTTTTCATGTCTTCACAGGTATCCAGCTGCACTGGTTTGAAAGCAACTCTTCTCCAGGATTATGTGACCAATGCACAGCGAGCATTTTTGATTTTCTTTGCTGTTTAATTTGTGGAATTGCCTGAAGTAAGATCACAGTTTCCTCACAATTACTTTGTGTTTTGTTTAGGGAGATGAATCTGACTCAGTGTACCAGAAAGCAGACAATTGTTGACACTCCTAAATGGCTCATGATGGCCTCGAAGAGGCATCTAGCTAAATTGTGAAGGGCAGTTGGTATTCTGTCAACATGTAAGAGCTTCCAACTAAAAGTACTGGTTTTGTAAGCTTTTTCCATGTCCTTGGAACTTCAAGGGGTAAATACATTCATTTCCTTTCATTTTGCATCCATCTGATAGCTTTTAAACACAGCTAGGATCAAATCTTTCCAACACTGATATCGATGGCAAAACTCCCTCTGACTTCCATGAGACAGAGATTTGGCCCATAAGAATGTCTGGGGAGGATGCATTGAAATAAATGGTGATTGTCAAAGCACATTGGAATTTAGAGCACATTTGTTGCAAAGATAGAGGCTCAATGGGTTATGTGTTTGTCAGAGTCAATTTTATTTTCCTTTACTACACATATGCACATATTTGAACCCTGTCATGCTGCAAAGGGAAATACCTCATTAGATTTCACTAGGGTATCTTCAGAGATGTTTATACACTACAGTCAATAAAGATATTTTTTGTTTAATAAATGAAATTCTGGAATAGTCTCTTCTATCAGGAAATCGAAGGAAGTGCATTTATCCCTGATAAAGATGAGGCTCTACTTTAGAAGGTGCAGAAAGCCTGCAATGTATATTATTTTTCAAATAGTTAAAAGATTTACAGTGGTAAATGTATCCTTTTTCAGTCTCTTGATCATATTTTCTGCAACAAAGCAAATGTTACAAATAAAAACAAGAGTAAACCCAGCGCATTCCTACATTCTGTATTTTCAATTATGATTTTAACATAAATGAATCACTTGTTCTTTCTTCATTTGGAAACAGTTTTACTTCCCTTTTCCCCACTGGACATATAAGTTTGATTTATAAACACAGCAATCTGGAGCAAAGGGAAGTTTTAAGCACAGTACATACTCCTGCTGAGGGCTAGTTTTATTTTCTTAGAATTTTTATCTTTAGTTCTTAACATTTTCAGATGGATTTTAGATTTCTACTTTGGAGATGAAAAACATGGTTGCAGATGACATATTTTGCCCATTTCAAATTCACACAGGCCTAAGGTTTCATCTTGCACCCAAGGCCTCATTTTATAAACATGGTGAAGAGTTCTTCCAGTTAAAATGTGCTTTTAACTGGGATAAACCTGTCTCCCCATGTTAAGACTTATAAATCTTCTCCACAGTGCTATTTACAATCCAGCTACTGCATGCTTACTTTATTGACTATGAATGAATAAGTCAGTTTTCCACATCACCCCATTTTCTTTGCTGATGTTTTGATTTGGTGTCTATCCAAAAGTCTCTGATCATAGACACATGATTATAAAAACATCTCTCGCACTGAAAATTATTCAAGAAACAAGCAATGGAATTAACTTATTTTAGATATTGTTTTACACTGCACATTTGAACTTGGGGATATACATTTTTCACAGGGCTTAGTTCTGCTGGGCAGAACACTCTGATAAGACTGCAGAAGCCAAGAAATTAAATGAAGAGGTTTTCTTTCATCATTCACTACTTGACTCGAGTTTCCGCAACACAGAATCTATGTCTTTAACTCAGCTGCGGCTCTTTGAACGGATGCAGGTGTCTCTACCATTTAAGGATTTTTAAATCCTTGAAGAGAGCTTCATAGGTTTGTTTGGATAAAATTGGGATTCTTTTGGTTGCTTGGTTGGTGTGGTTTGATTTTGTATTGCACCACTCAGATGGAATCTTGCAGAAGTGCAAGAGGGGAAAGGCTTGGCTATCAGAGATTTACATGAGGATTTTTTTCCATTCTCTAAGAATCTAGGATATCCAGAAAGATATTTTCATTCACAACTTTCGCTTGAATTCTGAAAACACCATGTATAAAGGCTGTGGGAGATCCTTAGAACTACTGGCACACATTTTATATACTAGGATTAGAGACAGGCTGTGTTCTTAGCAATAGCATCTGCAATTCTTTCCTTCCCATTACTGCAGGCATAAAGGAACTGACATGAGAACTTCTAGATCTAGATCTACTCCTTTCCTTTAAATCCTGAGTGGAATTCAAAACTGGAGGGAGCTGGCAGAGTGCAGGCAGCTTCTGGTGATGGAAATAACACAAAGACCAGCCTTGGAAGGCAGTTGATCTCAAAGGAAAAGAGCCACTGAGACTTGAGCATAGTAGAATTCAAACTCCATTGAAGCCTTTGCTCATTGTCAAAGCTAAAATCCAAATCTTATCCCACATCTCATCCAGAGGTGAAAGTCCAATGCAGTGAGACACTTGACAAGTCCCCTTGTAGGACAGGTATAACACAGTTTGTAAATTGAGCCTTATAGAAACACCTTGTTTTCAGAAGAGGACAAGTGTCCTTTTTAATTTTAGAGAACAGGAGATAGCTGAAGGGAATGTGGCATATGGAGAGACCAGCAGATGAGCTGTCTTGGAAGATCTTGCTTTCATTACCTTTGATCTTGCAAAGATCTATGGTATCAATATTGCCTATTCCAAACAACATGTCTTTTTGTTTATACTAAGTCCTGGGCATCCAAAAAGGTTGCATTGCATCTCCTGAAACCAACTCCTATATTTTATTATCTGGAATAGAAGAGTACCATGCCTGCCCACATTATTCTTCAATCATATTCCATGGGAATCAGATTTTTTGTCATACACTGACGTGTGCCTGGCAATTGTAGCTTAATTATATTAAGCCCTTCATAACATACTTGGAAAAGAAATCAGTGTCTTTATCAGTCACTGACACCCAGGCAATATTTCAGTGTACACGGCTTTTTCAGGTCTCAGTGGCAGGAGTTAAGGTGTCAAGGAATTGGACTGAATTCACAATTTAGTTTCAAGAAAAGAGGCATTTGAAGGCAACATAGGACTGACTCAAGCTGGTGACACTGGTGATTTTATGTTCTTTTGTCTTTGCCATTTCCCCTCTTTTCCCTTACTGGAATAAAACATGGAAGAGATAATCTGTTGGTATATTGTGCTGATCGGTCCCTCAATGGCACCCTTGTTAAGGCTTATATCTTCCCTCTGTGGTTTGACTTCTACTCATCTAACTCTAACCCTTTTCCTGAATTGCCTCAGTTAGGAGCACATTTGTGCTATGGTCTCACTATGTAATCTGGTGGTGGTTTAGTCGAAAGAGAAGTGAGGACAATTTCACTCACTTAAGATCTCTGTTGTCCTCTTTCCATAAGCTTTGTGAAAGAGTGTCAAGACACTTGGAGAAGCAGCATGTGTCAGATGAATATGGGCCTCAGTTTTGTATTTAGTATTTTCCTACAACAGCCATCAACAAACAGCATCAAGACACCAATAATACAGGTAAGAAAAACTAAAAACCAAACCAGAGAAAGTTCAGCAATTGTCCATTGTAGAAAAAATAAATAGAAGATTCAATTTTGAGGCAGATTATCTCTCTGGGACTATTTCAGGTGGGAAAAATGACTCTGGAACAAGAGAACAGAACACTGGAATCCCAAAGAGCAGTAACAGACATTAGCTTCAACACCTCCTAAAAATAAAGAATGAGACTTTGTCCTGGAAAATACTGACACCAGCATGTGATCTATCACAGAGACAGGGAGATACAGTACAGAAAGATAGTGGGGATGCAAAAAGAACTATGATATCACAAGTAAAACAACAGTTACAAGGAAAGCTGAAGACAAATGGTAAGGGAGCAACAGCAACAGATGTTTTCCCTTTAGGTCATAAATGAAAACAGAAATCCTGATGCACAGGAGCTTTTCCGGAGAAATACATCTATATCAGGGCATGAAACACTAGTGAAACAAAAAGAGAAGAAAAACCACAAAGAATTAAAGCAAAACAGTCTCCTTTTTGCAAAGAGAATTAGGGCAAACACCAGGTAGCTGGTGATGGGCTGTTGTTTCAAGAACGATCACAGCTCTTCCAACCAAGACATGCTGTGTTCTTCTGATGTTTACATGACTTGCTTGCTTAAGGGCATAGTAAATGGCACAAGGTTTGTAGGTTTGTCCTGAAGTGGTTGTGCCATGCTCTAGTCGGCAATGATAAGCAGAGGGACAGTAAGGTCAGCAGCACTGATTGCATGGCCTGAGGCAGAGAGCAGGGTTAATATACAAAGGGTAGGAAGTTGAGTCTCCTCACCAGGATGTTGCCAGAGCTTGTGAAGTTAGAAATATCCTGGCTGAGGTCAACCACACCTTACTAGTGAGCAACTATCATGTGCTGGTACACTCCCTTAGGCATCTGGAACTGGCCATCATGAAAGAGCTGAAGGGGCTCTTGCTCTCAACCACAGTGTCTGTTTGTGTAGCCCCATGATGCAGTTTTCTTGAGCACATCATGATGCTCACAATACATTGGGTCATGATTTATGTGTAGACAAGTTAATGCATCCACAGACCAGAGATGACTAAATGTTGAGATCCCTGCAATTATCATTTTGTTGTGGATTTTCTTGTCAAGTGCAACACAGTTCCCCTTTAATGGGGCAATGCTTTTCAGACAAGGAGGGCCAAAAAACACCCTCTCTGAAATCAGCCACCTTTAGTCCTCTAATCAGAGAAAAGCTAAAGCATTCTCCAACCATTCTACCATTTGCTAGAGCAGGCTAACTCTTCCCTATCTCCCCTTACCCACAGCTACTCCCAGCCCATCCTGTCCAAGGAACATGGTCTGCTGGAGTATTGCTGGACCCCTGTATTCTCTATCCTGGGCCATGAGGTGCCCCTTGGAAGTCATAACAAGTTGTCTATGAAATGCCAGTGCAAACACAGCAAGCAGCTGTGGGGTGAGTGCATCCACAACCCTGACTTTCCACATGGATCTCTGCTCTTTATTTTGCCCGTATTTGATCTCTGTTCAGGAAAAATGCAGTGAAAAGTGTTTTCTCAGACCACCTCCCTTTCAAGGCTGACACTATCAGTTTGGAATATTCACAGGGCTATTGGGTGTCCGGAAGAGGGAATGGCCAGGATCTGAATGTACCATTCAATCCTAATCCAAACACCTTCCCAGCTTTAGCTCAGCCTATCAGGAAAGGTAATTTAGCACCTGGGGAAGACAGGGTTTGGAGCTTGCATTTGGCACACCATCCAGCCACCTCTGAATAGACCTTCCAGATGAGACATTCTGTCACAAAAAAAAGTTCATGGAGGTGTTAAGTGCAAAAGCATTCCTGAACCAATAGCAAATAATAATATATAAAAAAGAAATCCTGCTTTTGCCAGGAAAGAATAGCTTTCTGCATGTTATCCAGAATGTTGTTTGCATAAATAGCTGGGAAAGAAGGAAAACAGGGAAAAAAAATAGAATCACGACTGTGAATTTCACAGTTCTAATAAATGTGGTGCATATGCAGAATTGCTCTGGAGACCATCTGGCTGTGCAGTCAGTGTAGTGCGTGCTTTGCTGGGCTATAGACATACCTGTTGAGTGCAAGAGGCTGAGAGGTTTGTGCTGTACAGCCTGAGTGTCAGTGGAAACAAGGGTATATGCATGTGCGTGCATATATGGCTCTGTGTGTGTCTGGATCACTGAAAGAGACAGTAGATACAATTTCAATGGACCTAAGGGAATTAGAAGCCAGTGTCTCATTTTTATAAGTGGCTCCTTGTTGAGGATTCAACACAATGTCATGGCAACACCATAAGAAGTTGCCACTCCTCAGCCAAAGCACTATAACTACCTTTGAATGCTTGAGCTGAGAGCTCATCCTACTCATGTGGTGTAACCCTAACCTCAGGATAGACCCATCACAGTCACAATGAACAGACATCAAGCACAGACAGCTTGTCAAGGGGTAGGTGGTAAATTGTGATACTGCCATAACTCAGCTCTGTATGCCAGTACATAGGGTCTTGCTTAAATTCCACATGCATTTCTTACCAGGACTCCTAAATTACTTGAATAACGTAAATGTTTTCTGCCTAATTGGTGGGAAAAAAAAAAAAATAAGAGAAAAAAAATTAGGAAAGCTGAATGCTCACAGCTTGAATCAACAAGAGAGCTGACCATGAGCAGATTTGTGAAACGTTATAGCACTGTTATTGTGGGTTTCCAGTTGCAGAACCAGGAATAAAACTGACACAAGATATAATCAAAAAAGAAATAAAGGACTGGAAAAGAAATAATGCTAGTCAACATTGTTTTAGTAACAATCAGTCTCCTTGGGCAGATCTGATTTCATCCTCTGGTGAGATTATAAATTTACTTGATAAAAGTGACTGCATAAATGTAACAGACGTTTTCAGGCTTTTGACTACCAGTAGATGACATTCAGGCTTTCAAATATTACACATTATAATAGTGCATGCAATGTGCTTAATGCTGTAAAGAACCAGCATCAGGGACCAAAACCCAATCATTTTCATCATATAGGCATGGACAGGGAGGCGAGGTGCTCTAAACTCTTTTGATTGACTATTCTATGATTCTATTATTAATCAGGAGTAATGGCTAACTGCAGAAACCTTTGTTTTTCAGGAAAAAGACCTAGCTAGATGGGTATACAGTCTATTATATATCTGCAGACAACGTTACTCACCCAGCCCTAAACTCATTAGCCCACAATGACAAACTCTCCTTTGCATGTTTCCAAATCAGCTGTTTTGGGAAGATATTGAAAAAACACTGGGATTCAGTTTCTCAGATAAAAAAGGAAAAAATCTGCTAGTTTGAGGAATAAACATTAAAGAACACAAATTGGTTTGGGTTTGACCTCACACCTGTTCTTCCTTAAATCTGAACTTCCCAAAATCAAATGTTAATAGCATTTGAAAACCGGTCTGCAAAGCTATGTCTCCCTTGCCATTCTAATACCATTGCACTGATGCTCCCTAGTTTCTCTCCAATGTTTGACAGTAAGCAGACTTCCCTGTTTAACACACTTCTTTCACAAAACACCTTGACGTAGATCTCTGTTTAACAGTTTTCATAACCTGTGATTCATGAGCTGCTTTCATTATTTTCATTGTTAACTACAATGCAAACAAAATGAAAAGCTTCTTTTGGGGGAGAAGAGCAAGAGGCCCCTTGTGATTTTAAGATTATGAAAGGTTCCTCCCATAGGAGAACTGCATCAATATTGTGGGAATTATAAGTATAAACTAAAGTAAAAGAGAGAGCTGAATATTTCTATCAGAAACAGAATAGCAACCTAAAGAAAAAAAAAATTCAAAAATAAAAACAATTTTTACCAAGAAAACTATTTTTCTGAGACTATTTCTATTCATTATTTCTGTAGCAGAAATACTGGCTTTGTAATCTATGATGTTAGTGTAATATAGATAAAATTTAATTGATTATTTAATACACCTCCTTGATGTTGCATATTTCAGTGCATCAGTTTCCCTTACATATCTGAATGACATGCCACCCTTTGTCATCGACCACACAGTCTCTTCCACTGAGCATTAAACTGATCAAGACCCTTTTCTTCAAAACCGCTCTCCTATGTCTTACCTTACAACATGGACAGTCTCAGGGGCCGTGTTTGAATCCCATCACACAATACCTCAAAGAAGAATTGAGCAAACCCATTTGGTTCCACAGCACAACCTCACATCCCCTTGCCAATGCCCATGGCACAGCCGTGACACCCTCACCCCAGCTAACATTCAATATTAGAGCCAAATCTTCCCCTGTGTAACTGTTGTGAGAGATTTAAAATGTTTCTGCTTTCCCTCTCACATCCTTATGTGCTAACCGCATGCCCTTGTAACTGTCTTGAAAATAAAACAATAGAAAAAAAAGAAGGATCAGAAATCCCCTAACTAATTTTATCAGCTAGCGAGCTGACAAGCAGAAGTATATGTGCTGTAGAACCGAAACAGGTGTGGTTTGAGCATTTTCCACATTTGGTCTTTGCAAAAATATGAACAGAGTGTATTAATTCCTCCACACTGATAATGGGAGCTTGGACTCCGTTATCTAAAATAAAGATTCTTGGCAGAATTCCTCACGTACTCAAATGGGCAAGAAAACTAATAATGATGGTTTTCTTCCTTTTTTTTTCATTAGGCACCTTTTCTAAGTACACCAATCTGTGTGTGAATTTTACTGAAGGATTTTTTGCTTAGCATGCTTTACATGTGAAAACATCACTGTCCCTCTCTCAAACAGTGAGATGCATTCCATGACTCCGTCTTGTACAAATACTACACTGACAGGTTTGCATCTCTGTATGTATGTGTGTGTGCCTCTATGCTTGCATATTTGCCCATAATGTGTGCAACAAAACCAGGTTAGGTGCACTTGCACAGTAAGAATAACCTATTATCACCAGCATCTCTCTGCACATGTAAGAAACCACATATAAACTGCCTGGAGTCAGA